GAATTACTTGCCTAATTAAGCTTATATACCTTTTTAAAAATTCATATGCAAAAAAGTGCAAATCAAGATATACTGCTTAACTGTGATTACGATTTGTCTCATATTATAAGAGCTACGACCCAGTTGTAATTAGTTATAGTTCTTGGCATAATAAAAAAACCGTAGTATCACTGCTAGCAATTGTATGCGATGTATATGCTTTATTGTTAGGTAAATGATCACCTTGCTAAAATTTAAGTACTATGTAAAGCTAACGAACCTTTTCAACCATAAACTCAAACAAAAAGAAGCCCACTTAATACCCCAAAGCATACATATAGACATCAGACAATGACATGAGTATAAACCCATTATCTTTCTTGACTTTATAGTATACTGGTTCACAATTTGTAGTAAAAATAAAGCATCGAATAGTATTTATGTAAATGATAGTAACTAAAGACATAGCAATACAGCATATCAGTCTAAAACAATTGAAACAACAACACCTTAATTAAAAGATAAACATTGTATCAAGAAATAGAACAGTTTACCCGATCAAATACATTGCTGGTGCTAAGATTTTAATCATATATTCACTAACTTTTTCAATTCAGATATGGTATATAAAATAACGAACCTTTCATTGTCAAATCAAAATTTTGATGCTAATATTAGATACATTTATATTCAGATATAAAGTTCGGATATAGACATTCGAATACAATTATATTCATTACCTAATGATATCTACTGTAATCTTTTCATTTCTCAAAAATGATATTAAATTGGAATGGCATCTGTAGTAAAACAATTTATAAATGTTTTCTTCAATTTATAACAACTCATTCAATCCAATGAAAACGTGTCAATATGGTAATAATACTAGATTCTACTTTTAAAACAAATAAACATAAGCTTTTAACGAAGAGAAACATTCAGCTAGTATAAAAAAATATTAGCTATATAACGCAAGCATATCAAACTAGACCTATCACTGAAGGTGATTAATACCCCCACCAGCAACTTTTTGAAAAATTAGTAGTCTGAAGAAAAATTTCAACACAAACTATCAACTGTGTACAAAGAAATATTTCAATTAATTGTAATCCCAACTGGGGTCTCCAAATAAGCTATGCTTTTCACAAAGTTTGATTACAATATTCTCATTCCTAACTCTAGTTATTGTCCGGGGAAACCATTTTTCTACTTTTTAGGAATGGTGACCTTGACCTTGACCCAAGGGGGTCCAAATGCAATACCAACCCAGGTCTTCATATAAGCTTGCTATACACCAAGTTTGATAACAATATCTCATTCCTAACTCTAGTTATTTGTCCGGAAACCATTTTTCTATTTTTAGTAACGGTTTGACCTTGACCTTGACCCCAGGGGGTCCAAAAACAATACCAACCCAGGTCTTCATATAAGCTTGCTATACACCATTTTGATTACAATATCTCATTCCTAACTCAAGTTATTGTCCGGAAACCATTTTCTATTTTTAGTAACGGTGACCTTGACCTTGACCCCAGGGGGTCCAAAACAATACCAACCCAGGTCTTCATATAAGCTTGCTATACACCAAGTTTGATTACAATATCTCATTCCTAACTCAAGTTATTGTCCGAAAACCATTTTTCTATTTTTAGTAATGGTGACCTTGACCTTGACCCAAGGGGGTCCAAATGCAATTTACCAACCCAGTCTTCTTCTTATAAGCTTGCTATACACCAAGTTTGATAACAATATCTCATTCCTAAACTCTAGTTATTGTCCGGAAACCATATTTCTATTTTTAGTAACGGTGACCTTGACCTTGACCCCAGGGGGTCCAAATGCAATACCAACCCAGGTCTTCATATAAGCTTGCTATACACCAAGTTTGATAACAATATCTCATTCCTAACTGTAGTTATTGTCCGGAAAACATTTTTCTATTTTTTAGTAACGGTGACCTTGACCTTGACCCCAGGGGGTCCAAATGCAATACCAACCGGAGTTTTCACATAAGGTTGCTATATACCAAGTTTGATTACAATACCTCATTCCAAACTCTAGTTATCGTCCGGAAACCATGATGTGGACCGACCGACGGACCGACCGACCGACCGACCGACAAGCTGACTCCTATATACCCCCCCTAAACTTCGTTTGTGGGGGTATAATTATAGGATCGGAGTCAATTTCGCTAATGATATGTTCGTTATTCACTGAAACTGCTTTTTTGCAACAAACAAAGAATTGACCAATTCAATGTTGTCACCTCCCAATTATTTAAATGACCTCCACGAATATCTTGTTTCTCTTGGCTGCATAACCTTTTAGGGTGTGTCCTTGGGTTCAGCCATATCTTTTCTTCGCCTACTGGACATTGCAATATGTCACGCAAATATTAGTTTTCAAAAAGTTAATCACAATTTCACAACATTGAAGAGGCAACGTATATTTTCATGCTTGTAATAATATATTCTTGATATTTTTCCGAATCTTCTTGTTTTATTATTTTACCAGGGCCAAAAAACCCTTCTTTGTAGAGGCCGAATATAGGCTACTTCCCCAACCAAACTAGCCTCTTTTTTTCCCCAATTTGGTCTTAAATATTCCCCAGTCTTTTGAAATTTCCCATAGAATTTAGAACAAAATTAAATGATGGTGTTGAATTAAGGATTTTGACTGCCTTATTTGTATTTCCCAGTGCTTTTTGCTTTTCTACTTTAAAGACCTTGTTAAAAGTTTATGTTAAATTTGAGACCCCTTTTCCCAAAGTATGCCAAAATCAGGCATATTTTCCCCAAGAAAAAGGCTGAGGCCCCTTCCCCAAAAATGGTGTTTTGGCCCTGTTTACTGAATTACCGCAAGTTTTTAGGTTTAAACTTCAGCATAATTGTCTGCACTAAAAGTAATTCCAAAGCTACATTCGTCTAGCTTGAAAAAGACGGTTTTTTTAATTGAAAGGTTCGTGGCCCAAGACAACGAACCTTTCATTGAGTTAAATGTTTATTTTATCATGTTTCCCTCATCATAATAATTTATCTTTATAGAATTGTTTTAAATTCACTTCATATTTTAAATTTATAATCACACAAATATAATGGTTTATTTGCTTTTTTATAAAACAAGCTTTTCAGGCGAGTAACGAGGTTTATTTTTTACATACATCTTTTTCAGTTGTAACGCTTGTAAAAATTCAGACATTCTTTTGATGTTCTTTTTCTGTATAAACAAGATATACTCACAAGATTTTTTCTTAAATAATATTATATACATTAACAGGATAAGATATATTATTTTATTCATATAAATTTATCATAGGAAAAGGTTCGTGACTAATGGTCACGAAACCTTTTTCCTTGTTTGTAAATCCGACATCGGTATTAATAAACATCATAAAAATATAAATTCGCTTATTTCATTTGAAAACAACATCGTTTGTGATTTCGGTAGGCAATAGAAAATTTTCTTGAAATTTAATAACATGAAAAGTATCAAAATCACTTGCCAAAGGAATTTGATGGGAATCTCTCGATCATGTTTGTAACATGCGCTGCGAATAATAAGCAACCATTATAGAAAGAGTTTGAAACGTTTCAACCCAAATGACATCATAGTACATATGTTTGTTATCCGCAGCCGTTTACAAACAAGCACAGTGTAGGCGGCATCGAGTAAATATATCACCGCACGAACCTTTTCATCACGAACCTTTTCTCAGCATATTTTCAGATTCAATAATGTTGTTTATACAGCAACAAAATGTTTCATTTTTGGCATAAATACTAATTTTACCTAACTTAGAACATTTGATGGTGCTCGGGGTACATAATTGCAGTCATTAAACCCTTTAAATCAGGTAACGAACCTTTCAATTTTAAAACCAAACCACATCACAGCGTTTTAAATTCTACATAAATAATAAAAAAATTGTGCACATTATGAACATTGGTGATAATATGAAAGTATTATATTGTGATATTAATACAAAAAAGAACATGTAATGTTGTTTCAATGACAAAAACACTTCACTTGCAATATATGGTTAAAAGGATAACGAACATTTCATACTATCCGGCGACAAACACTAACCCCTTACCATTTTTTATGAGTTATTGTTACTTGAGATCTAATTTACAAATTTATAGTCGTGAATTGTCCCAAAATAATACGGCATCAAAAGAAAATTAAAACAATACAATTAAAGCATCTAAATACACGTTCATTTTTATAAATTGGAACGGGGGACAATCACGAACCTGTCATTTTTCGTAACTTTTGGGTGAATATTATTAAACAATTATTCATGATCAAATGGCGAGTTATTGTGTGTTATTTAAGGTAACATCTACCTTCTTAAACCAGCATAGATTTACAGGCAAATAACCTGCAATAATTAGGATAGACGGTGGCGACAAGTAAAAACAAAGGGTGTAAATTCTAACTGAGAACGGCCGTAAAGACTGCTGCCTTTTTTCTAAATTTTCTTGATAAAATTGATGAATAATTTAGAAGCTGACAGTTGTAAGTAATGACTTTGTAATACACTTGAAAATTTTATTAAACGTTGGACATGGCATCACAGGGAAATCTGTCCTTACAACTGTCAACATCAGGCTAATAACATGTAAACCAATTCATAAAACCACCCTTTATTGTAATTATCTTAATCAAGGCGCAATAAATAACTATAATCTGTACACAAACATTAATTTTTTTATACAAGATTTCAAGATTTATTCAAAACCAAGGCATATAATATGCATAAGGTTATGATATATCAACAATATAATGAACAGTTATTCAAAAGTGATAAATAATGACTGCATAGTGGTGTTCAGCCTAACATTTTTTTAACTACACGATGTTTTTCTGTGCTTTACATAATTGTTGAATATAAATGATATGTTGAGAACATAGTTGATGTTTAAGTAAAACATGATAGGACGGAAACGACTACTGACACTTTTTTAACGTCAATAATGTTAAATTTTTGTAAATCGCGAAAATGTAAACAAAATTCTTACCTGTTAAATGTGTTCCGTTACATTTACACGATCATGAGATTTACTTTATCAGGGAAGTGATGCAGTAAACATGCTAAAAGGACAATAATAGAAGTATTTTATCAAATAAAAACTTCCGTATTCTTTTAATATAATTTTTGTTATTGATATTATTATATTCACGTTTTCCACTGTTCTTCCACTTACGACTTACGACTTGAGAGACACTTAATTGATAAAGTGCAGACAAGTACCGTAATAATATATTTTTGCGTTATTTTCCGTTATATACATTGTATTCTTTTTTATTTTGTTTTGTATCTTTTTTATTTTTTCCTACTTTATTTATGTATTTGTTTATTATTTTTTTTTTTTTGGGGGGGGGTGGCACTGTAACGTGTATACATGTATACATATGGCGACTTTTCATTTCAGCGTGCCTGATAGAAGAAGATTTCAGGTGCCCCTACGTTCATTATCTGTAATAGACACGAACGGGAAACTGAGGTTCCGTAAGTCAGATTGATAGCTCCCTAACATGAGATAAGGCGAGGTTCGAACCTATAACGGTTAGGGGAAAGTGGTTTAAAGTTAATGACTTTTATCGCACGGTCACGGACGCCCCTCTAGATTAGTTGATACATGGTGTATGTATTACTTATTTGTTTGGTTTTTTTGTGTTTGTTTGTTCTTTTAATTACGTTTTTTATATACGTATATATATTTATTTTAAATAAGTTAGGTCTGAATCTTCCAGCACCTTAAGACATCTTCTGGTAAACTAAAATGCCATATAAGTAGTCGATTTTCTCTATAACTTTTATGTGCATGTATAAAATCTCTACAAAATTGAATTTCTATCTTATTTTTGCGTATGGGATACTTACCAAACGCATAATAATTTGCAATTTTTTTCTCTCACGTCATGGACTTGCTTCTTGTTTGGGTCTGGATTGAAAGATATACATGAACAGTAGAACCTGTGAGCTAAGGCCACCCAAAGGAAAGACAGAACATGACCCTTGTAGACAAGTGGCCTTTTTTCGGAGGTTCTACCTTATCAGTGGAGGGTTGTCGAAAAATGGTCTTTATGTACAGAACGGTCTTTATGTGGAGGTGGTCTTTAACACGGATTTGACTGTGTGTAGACAGACATGTATTCTGAATGAGTAACATTAAAGCATTCAATGTGGATTCTATTGTGTAAGCATCAGTTAACAAAAACACAGGGTTGGAATGTATAGAAAATTCTGTACATGTTATGTTTCCTTGATATTTCTCAAAGAACAAGAACAAAGAACGTTTTACGTAATGTGTTGTACTGCTGTGGTACCCGCATCTGAGCTACGTCAAAAAAAAATAACAACAACAACAAAAAAAAAAAACAGGGAAAACTTTGCTCCTGCACATGTTTTGAAATAAAATCAATATATAAGTCAAGAAATGCTCATTGTACTATCATTTTGTAGGTGTGGACTTTTTTTAATAATAATATTCATGTATTTTTTGTCCGATTGTTAAAGCAGAGTTTACATTTAAAACTGAAGCAATTGAAAAATAAATAAAGGAAAAATAAATAAAGTAAAAAAATTAAAAAGAAAAAAAAAAAGAAGAGAGGACGTGAGTTAGTTTCGAACCACGATCTTCTGCATTATGCAGCGGTATGACAAATGTATGAATGAAATAGACAATTTATCTATATTTAGACCTGTCAAGTCTTGTGTGGCGTGACTTACATTTCAAGAAGTTTGAAGAGCGCGGTTATTTAAATAACTGTTAATAATGGCTAAGCAAGGTCGTGAAATTTCCAGTGGAACGCAAAAGAAATGTTTTTGAGCTGATTGAAAGCAGATTACGTGCAGGGATGTGGCAAAAAGATTAAATATTAGTGAGAGAACGCTTTCGAAACAAAAGGGAGACCGACCTGGCAGAGCAAAAGCAACATCGGATCCCGTCGACCGCACTTTGTTCAGCATTGTAAAAACAATACAAATCGGCGATCTAGTTCGAAGTGTATTACCGGCATATTTAATGAAATAACATCTGTGAAACTTTCTACTAGATCTATACAGAGGAGATTTCATTTCTTTGGATATAAACGACGATCCGTCGGGAAAACCATAGGAATAAGGAATGTGGTTAGCGTGGTGTAGGGGTAAAGTACACTGGACAACTGACAATCACTGGAAGAATGTTAATTTTAGTGATGAAATGATGGTTGTTATCAAACCTGACGGGAAAACAAAAGTTTAGAGAAAGAGCTCGGAAAAGTGGCGACCTGAATGCTTAGGATATGTTGCTGACGGGCCTCAGTCAACCATTATAATCATGGTCTGGGGTTGCATCACTTATTATGGAATTGGAACATTACCATTCGTAAATGGTAACATAAATTCTGAACAATACATTGAGATTTTAGACTCGAATCTGTGGCCAGTTATTGCGAAAGTATTTTGCGTTAATCCACGGCTCTTTCAGGATGAAAACGCTCCTTGTCACCGCTTCCGAAAGTCCAAGGAATTGAAACATAGAAGTATTAGAAACCAGATACCCCCAGCTCAGTTGCCAGTTGCCGCCCCCCCCCCCCAGTCCCCAGATTTGAGCCCTTTTGAAAACGTTTGTCAACTGATGAAAACACGTTGAACAATTGACTTTATCTAATATACTTATTAATGTCAATGACTTGAAGGCTCAATTGTTACATGTGTGGAACGAGGTGCCCAAAAACTGTATGATAGTTTACCCAGAAGATGTCGACAGGTCATTTTCCAGAAAGGAGATATTACAAAAAACTAGTTACATCACATCATTTTTCAGGTTAGTAAATCATTTTTATAGAGTTCATATTTCGTTAATTACCGCGTCGCCATTAAAACACTTGAATCATTTATAACATGACACTGTGTACCAGTATATCGGAATATAAGCTCGACAGTTTTATAAAATTGATTTCAAACACTAAATTGGTTAGTGTTTATTAATAAGCATGTACTATATTAAATTGGTCATACATATATGTCGCCATTGTTTCCTCGCTTATGGTGAATTTCGCTACATCAACTATAAAAATTCAAATGGTCGACACAAAAGACATTTTAATTGTCAGTACACCGTATTTCTTTTTTTTTCTAATTAGAAGTGACATAGCAACACTGCTTTTAAGCAATTTTTGAAACACTGAAAATGATATTAATGCATAGGGGAGTTATATAAAAAATATATCTCAACTTTGTTGATATCAATCATTTCAAACTCAAGTGATTATTATGATATAACATTGTAGCTTTCAATTTAGAAGTTATATTAAAAATATATTTTCTCTTTTTTACCACCTTGTTACGAAAGAAAGTATAATTACAGTGACACAAATATATCAACAATTTTATTACGATGAAAGTCTATGACAGAGTATACTATAAATGTAAAAAGTAACAAAAGTCCTTTTGTATACTCGTAAAGTATATAAATACAAATGAGCCGCGTCATGACAAAACCAACATAATGGGTTTGCGACCAGCATGGATCCAGACCAGCCTGCGCATCCGCGCAGTCTGATCAGGATTCATGCTGATCGCTTACAAACACTATAACAAATAGAGAAACTGATAGCGAACAGCATGGATCCTGATCAGACTGCGCGAATGCGCAGGCTGGTCTGGATCCATGCTGGTCGCAAAACCCACTATGTTTGTTTTGTCATGACTCGGCTCAAATAATAAACAGTAACAAACACATCAATAAACAGATTTAAGTACTGAAACATATAATATCAAAACGTTATCAATGTCATTTCATCCCATTTTAACAAAGTGGACAGGTATCTATTTAAGTAAATGTACATGTATTGGATTTCGTACACAAGTTGTAAATTTGAGATATTAAAGGAACTCCACTGAGGTCCAAAAGCCGGAAACTTTTAACTTTTAAATTTTAATTTCATACATAGTCTGATCAGCTGGGGGTACTTAAAAGAGAAGGTTAAACAAAAAGTAATTAAGAAATATACTAAACAATAAATTGAAACGTGTACTTTATTTCTATTCCTGGCCCGATTTGAGTGAAAAGCGTTGTAACGTTTTTCAATTTTAGGTCATTTTTTCTCAATAAGAATAATTTATTCTATAAAAAGAGAACGGAGAATGATATGAAATTTATTTGTCTAGATCTACATGAAATGGAACATTTATCTAGGAAAAAAATCTAGTCTTGTGTCAAAAAAACCTTAACGGAGTCCTTTTAAACCGTAACCTATTGTAATTTTGTACTTGATTTGTCCTAATTTTTAAATTTGAACAGCCTTTGTTAAAGCCTTTATCAAAGTTTCATATTATCGAAATACCAACAGTATCTGATCAACCTTCATGAACTATGCTTTTGTGAATGGTGACAGTTACTGCAATACTAAATACTGGTGGCAAAGGTTAATCAAAAAGTTATCGATCAATGTGAATTCAAAAAAAAAACATGGACGAAAACTTTTAGTAACCACATTTAGCTACTCATCAAATGATAATATGTTGTATAATTCACTTATCAAAATACACTGGTAAGTTATTCCCGTCAATTTACATTTCATGAAAATATAAACTGGCAACTACATTAAAGCACAGTAAAAACATGCGTTTTTTTATTGTCCATTTCATGTCCTTAAATCGTAAATTTAAACCTGATTGTCCCAAACGATTGCTTATGCAAATGTTGACAATGGCACTAAAAGCGATATAAGACAGTCTGAAGAGACGAAATCTCATTGTATCTCGCGACGCATGAACGAGAGGATACGTTATTTAAGTTTTTACGCATTTGCACCAAATGTAAGATTTTTGTAGTTTTTTTTATCTGTCCACATTCATTTCCATAGAAAAAATGCCTGTTCTGATTGACCAATGCATACGTCCTACAGATAATGAGTAAAATTTCACTTTTAATATGGTACCGAAAAACTAATAAATCAAACTGATATATCCGTGCCTCTATAACTGTCCATTATGACATTATATTCATTCACAACATTCACCAATGCATTTATTTCATTTACTTCCGGTATCTAATTAGAAACACAGATACACACGTGCTTATTTATTATCACGTGACGCAAGGTGCACGGGTTTACTTGGAATACATTCCGTGTTTCTTGGTATACGTTCACTATCAAGAAAAAAAATGTAGCACTGTTTTTTTTTCAGCCGTTGATTGGGGATATTCGAGGTGCTCGTTATAACACGTGCATTTTGTGATATAACATCGTTGATTGTGATGGGTGTATCTTATGATGATGGATACAAAAGTGTCACGCTCTCATCTTCGCACGTGCTCTCATCTTCGCACGTGCATTGGCATTGCGTGTCGGATATCTTTATACATACAACTTTCTGGTTTTAACTGAAAATATAGAGAAAAGAAACACTTTGATATCATTTTGTTTCCCTTTTTAGTGAAATGTCTTTTTTTCATAAATACGCACGGCCCTCTTGATAAATTTTTGGGTGTAAATAACAACAACAATAATAATAATAATTTAAAAACAACAAATAAACAAATAAAAAAAGAAACAAAAACGTATAAAAAAGTTATTTTTGTACATGATTATCTATAAAAATAAGAAACAAAAATGAGCTTGCATTTTTACAGATATACATTATATTGCTTCATGATTGAAATTTTGCAAGTTTGTTCTCAATAAATGCATTTGTTGCGAAACATATATATACAGCCGGAATTCAACGTCATTTGCCTAATTCAATGCATATTTTGTAATTCCTTTTAGGAAATTAACACATTTCGTATTTCTTTGGTATTCAACTGATTAGTTTCAACTACTGAATTAGTTACATATTGGGAGTAAACTTTGATTGATGTCTGCACGTGAACCTACTGCGAACATCATCACAAAGATCTCCCCGTTCCGCACAACTGTGGACGCGCGTCGTTAATTTTAGTACAATTTATTCCCGAAATTGTACTGTGGACCATTCGGAAAACATTCATGTTGATGACTTTTGCAGATCGAAAACGTTTCATGTTTTGGGAGATGAAAGATCTCTCGGTACATGCAAATATTCCAACTGCAAGTTTTATGGGTATTAACGTTTTAGGTTTTTGATTCTTGTCCTAGATATTCTGACACTAACGCGCGGAACAGGTTCGATCTTTTCGGGAATTCTTAATCTTTTTCGGATATTAATTTTTTATAAAGGTAGATGACGATTTTTTAAGGACAAAACGGAAATTGGTGTATGAGTATCGAGCAATATTAGTAACAGGTTAATATTATACAATTCAATTTGATTTAAAGGTATCCAAAACAATAAGTTTCATATCCTATAGATTTCATGGACGGGTCTCTTAAAATCTTTTGAAGATTACCTTAAGTTAACCCTTGACCTGCTGGAATATAATGTGATTTTGTTTTGGCAACGCCAACTCGAACAATAGTGCAGCCTGACCAAGCGCTATACTAATAACCTTGATGTATCATCATTTTATCCCCCGGATATGAAAATAGACAGTGCCAAAAATTGAGGCTGGACAAGCCCATTTACGAATTCACCAGGTTAAAAGTCTAGATGACGTGCGCGGTAATTGTAAAAAGCAAGCTAAGTTAAACTTTCATTAGGTCGACTTGTAATGAAAACATAGCTCGAAATCTCGAGTTTTCAATCGTATTTATTTATAAGATACATTCATTTCACCTTGTAAAATGTACAAATATGCCTTTTACATTAATATGACTTTTGCATGTGAAGATTATAATTGAGCCGTGTCACGACAAAACCAACATAATGGGTTTGCGACCAGCATGGATCCAGACCAGCCTGCGCATCCGCGCAGTCTGATCAGGATCCATGCTGTTCGCTTACCAACTCTATTACAAGTAGAGAAACTGATAGCGAACAGCATGGATCCTGATCAGACTGCGCGGATGCGCAGGCTGGTCTGGATCCATGCTGGTCGCAAACCCATTATGTTGGTTTTGTCATGACACGGCTCATATATTAAGTCTTATGACTTTTTGAATATAAAATTTATATTCATATGACTTTTTGCATGCAAAACTTACATTATTGTACTCAAATGACTTTTTACATGTACATGTTTAATTTATATTCAAATGACTTTTGCATGTAAAACTTTTATTCAGATGATTGCTAAATTTAAAAGTATAAGTATGTGACTTTTACATGCAAAAAAAATCGGATTTGATTCACACGATTTTACATGATTGCAAAATTGTAAAATTGTACATTGATTTGATTTTAAGATACTACTGTAGTCTTGGACTATAAGTTTTTATATAACTTATGCATGTATAATACTCGAATCCTTTTCCATTTTCGGTACAGGAATAACATACAACATTTTATAGTATACACGTACATTTCTAATATTTTCTGAAATTCGTTTAACTTTTGATTTTCTGTTAAAGATATTTTCATAAAATGTTTTCCAGATATGAGTAATTGTTTGCCAATGTGTTGAAATAAAAGCATATTTGTAACACATTTTTGGGGTGGATATTACTTCAGATCAGCTTGAAACAGAATGTTGGAAGTTTTGCTTACTGACAAAACAGTTATGAGAAAACTTTGAATCAGCATCATCGTATATAGTTATTTCACATTGAACGTTACATTTGAAGAAAAAAAAAGTTAAAAAAGCGGTTTCGGGCAAAATGTATATTTTGCCAATAACATTTTATCGAGAAAAATGATCATTTACGAGGGCTGTCACAGTAAGTCATGGACAACAGCGTTTAAATACAAATATCAGAAAAATTACAGGTACCTAAAAAGCCATTGCTGAGTGTACATGCACCCCCCCCCCGCAAAAAAACAAAAACCAAACAAACAAAAAAAAACAAAAAAAAAACAAAACAGCACGATATCATTTAATTTGATTATACAGAACAAATTATAAGACTACCTGGTAATGCAATGTGGCCCAAACTCCAAACGTCATAAAAGTTATATGAAATTGTAACTATGACTAATAAATTGGTGAAATATTCTCTAGATTTATCTGTTTTGATAAAATTGTTTATCAAATATGCTGTAATGGAAGTAAGTAAATTAGAAAAAAAATCTGCCGTCGAGATCATATTAATGCGCATTTGAACTTGAAATTGATAACTATTTCCTTAAGCAAAAGAATATAAATAAAGCATTACATAAATTCTGCAATAATAATTATCACTATATGTATAGTCGTTTAAATCTAATGTTGACTAAATATAAGAATTAAGCAAAAATTGTGTCTTATTTCTAAGAGGAATATAATATGATAATTTTCGGATTTAATTTCATTATAAATTCATATAAAATTATAAAAATTGAATTGCCACTATTGCCGATAAAAGAATAAAATGAAAAATATAAAATGTATATTTTGTATTTAGTCAAAAATAGCTTTTTTCTTATAAACTTTTTTTTATCGTCCCATGTTTGAGAACCAAATTTGAACCTTTTCTCTCTATTTAAAAAACAAAAATGCAACAAATATCAACCAGTTCAGCTATATTCTATTTCTTTATTTTTCGAAATCCTTAACTTTTGTTACGACAGACAAGAGGACCTTTATATGCATATTTTAAAAGCCCATTATGCTCCAGAAATGTTTTTATTTTCTTTCCTCAAAGGCATTTTAATTTCTTTTATTTTTGGTGTCCTGTTATTTAAGTTTCCAAAAAGTTACCCATTGGCCAATTACTTGAACCATCTTTTGATTCTGTTAATATTATTAAACTCATGTTTAAAACTGAAAATATTATTTGTTTGTGAGACATAATGTGCCTTTAAGTAATTTTAAAAATAAAATAGAGCTTAAATATAACGAACACAGTTATAACGAAAAATCGGTTATAACGAAGAAAATAAATTTCCAACCTTCACCGTTATTTATTTGTCCATTGACACAATTATAATTTGGATATTTCGAAAGAACGGTTATAACGCATGTTTTCTGAAATCCAGTGATACAGTTTTTAAAAGCAAAATGGTTCGGGTTAAGCGAGTTTATTTAATTTTAAAAGTACCGGTAATTGATTTCGGAATTAATCCTGCTTAATTTGTATACATATACATGTAGATATTATAGAATAAAAACAACTGACAAATCGTTTTACAGCGATATATTTTGTACGGAAGGTGACCGATTTTGATATATCTATCCATTATCTGCATTTAGATGTTTATCAATTAATTATTTATCTTTCCAATTAACTTAGGACAATAATCAATTACTGCCCACTGAGCAGCGATCTTTCATCAGTAGACTAATACTGCTATTGATGGACAGGCTTGACAGGTCGACGGTGTCCAGTTACAACTTAATGACCGGTGCCACTGACAGATCTAAAATGCGATCTGCAGCGAATGCACGGAAAGGCGTATAATATGGCCATTATTGCAGTTTTTATGAGCTAATCGATGTAATGTTTCTTGTTAATGGTGAAGAAATACGAGTAACGTTCACTACAAACCTTTTTGCGAACAGAAATATTCATATTATGATGTTGTTTTTATTTTGTTATGTTTTTTCCTTTGTTTTTTTTTTGTTTGTTTGATTATTTCATTTAAAATAATGGAAATGACGTTTCCTTCCCATTTTTTTCTAGATATCGGTACATTTTCAAGTTTCGATTTTTATCAATTCAAATTTCTATTGTTTTTCCTATGTTTTAACAGCATATAAATGGAATTATTCTTTCTAAATAGCTATGAGGTTAATATGGTCCAAGCGTGAATCGTCTAAGAACATTTATAAATACCAATTAACAAACTTTAGACTGACAGACAAACTATTATATGCTCAAGTGCGGTAATAATGTTCAATTGCCCTCAACGCTGATATTTATAAATTTTAAAATAGAATGCATGTTTTTGATGATATTATAGTACTAATTAAGCTCTGTTGTGTTTAGTTATGAATATTTAGTTATGGTTATACCACAGGGCGTTGAAGGTTCAAAGTTGCATACCTGTACATATATTCAAAGGTGGGTGTTATGAAAAAAAATTATGCGCGAAACTTTTCCTTCAAGATTCTTGAAATAGTAATTTCTGAATATAAAAATCAAAATGATGATTTAAAGTGGATTGGTCTACAATGGGTATATTTTCCATAAGAATTTCAAATATTAATAAAAAAACAACAGAAATGCATCATTTGGATATTTCTATGAAATCTGTCTTTTTTTAAAAAAAAATTAATATAGTTCTGAAATGATTTAGTATGAACATATATATGATGAAAAATAATATTTTGTTCTGGAACGATTTCTAATCTGCTATATATTGGATCGTGTATCTAACACTTACCGACAATGGTCATATTAAATTTTTTTTTCTTGTTTATTGTACCTATGACGCTAAATAATATCAATA